TAGTAGAAGAAGAAGACAAGTTGAAACTAAAGCCAAGTTATTGTCCTTGTGTGAGCGCAGCATACTTATCACACAAATGGGAGCCCTCGGGTTATGGGCTTGGCAACTAATGGACCAATTTAAGGGATTATAAAGTAGTGGGCAGGTCTGTCTCGGGACTCCACAAGAAAAACTGACACTTTCTAATAGGATCTAGGATGTATCTTCTACATGTCTATGACGCAGGGGTTGTTCATATAATGCAAGCCATGTTTACATTGCAGCAACGCCAAAAATCAACTAAAAAACATTACGATGTGGAACACCAATAACTCTGTTGCACAAATACAAGTATTATTTATTCCAAGTCAAAATTATACATTGATTTGTGGAAAAGATGGATTTATAACATTGACTGATATTGCACGAAAGTAGAGTCAGCCGATCTGAAGTTTACTGAGCTATAGCTTTTCTGTGGGAAGAAAGATCTAGCTACATGTAGCTGACTCCTTGTACAATAATTGCTTTATCATAAAATAGCTGAGAACATTAGACATCAGGCTGAACTTTTCGTTTCAGGAAATGTAAATACAATTTCAAATATATCTGGTTCTGAAAAGAGATATGTGTCACACGGGATATTCCAAAAATATTTCTATATAAATGCCTGTAAATGTTACCAGTACCTTCTTTATAACTTCTATTAGTAGTGCTTTACAAACTCCACTCCGTACAGCTACTGCTGATAATAAATGAGTGCATGTATGCAGATGAGCTAAATTTAAATAACATAAAGTGAAATATAAAAATATTTTCATTCTATTTTCAAATTACACTTTCCTAAAAAAATAAATGCAATTTTGGGGTCCCAATAATACCCATATAACTATTAATAATAATAAGTAATAAAACTAACAGTAACAACATAAACAACAATATAATAATTATTAGTATTTTGAACCCAATAAAGTAGGCATTTTATCGTTCATATTTTTTTCAGTCGTCATGTTTCGCTTCTGGCACCAGTAATGTGTATACTAGTACTTTAATCAATTATTTCTTACTTGTAAGAGTAGTGGTTACAGAGAAAGGGGGCTTGGAACCAATAATAACTTTTTGGTTGGAATGTTATATATAAAAATGTAGAACACATGTAGCGAGTGAATGAAGGTCAGTATTTAGTAGTATTTATTATAATAGCAATTCAGTTTCCTCAATAGAAGCATCCCAGTGACTGCTATGAAGAACATCTTCATGTTATCTTTCTGGTGTTTGACTACTATGGTGGTTTTTTTATTTAAAATTCAGACCTGTGTTCTTTGAGTCATTTTATTTTACAATTACTCACTAATTTTTTTCATCTTTCTATTGGGCCAAAATCCACACACATATTGCCAAAAATGTATGGTTATTGTTAATGACTGAGTCATGTACTAAGAAATGTTGGAATAAACAGTATCTATGTTGACCATAGCAACCAATCAGATTCTCCGGGGGTGATTTACTAAACTGCACTGAAAACCGATTTATGACATGCATGACTGTGTAGTAGGAACTCTTCTGAAGTTAATTAGACATGCGACACAAACGTCACTCTGCTTGATGTCACTTCAGTTAAAGTGTGTAATTTTTTCATTTTTGGTAAAGCACAGTTAGACCCATGTCAGGTTTTTATTGCTAAAGCAAATGTATATGAAGTAATGGAATAAACCTGTCAGTAGGTCAGTGGGATTCAAACAGGACACAGTGGCTCTGGTCAGTCTACTTTCACAAAATACAGGGTGCTCCTTATAAAGGTGACTTAGAGTTCAAGATCCACTTATATTAAGTCTAATGAGAGCATCCAACCAAAAATCCAGGAGTCCAAAATCGTTCAATATTGGTATTGACTCCTAACAAAAAAATATTAAACAGCCAATGTATTTCAGGGGCTCGGGGATTTCCCCCTTCTTCAGGGCTATAAAACAAATACAGAAATGGATGGAAACATGAATTTCAAATGGATGGAAACATATGAATGTCCCTGATAGTTCATATATGATATACATTGAACTAAAATAGGAATTCATATATTTGTAACACTGTATATTGTTACCGAGGATGCAGAATTCTACTAGCCCAGAAGATGGCAGTATTCAGCACTTTGCCTCGCAATAGCCCTAATACAAGCACTCAAAGCATTCTGGGAGATGTAGTCTGGAAGAAGTATGTACAGTAAAGCTTAAGTCTCAACTACAAAGCCCACAAGCACCAGCCAAGGGGAGGGAAATTATAAAAGGAAAAGTCCTGGAAGGAGCCAGGGCAGTTATGTGCCAACTGGAAGGAATGTGTGTGACTGTTCCAAGCTATGCTGTCTGGACCAGCCCAGCTCAAGCTGCATTCAACAGAGCTACTAGTGAGCCAAGGAGCAGGCTTGTCTTGAGTGCAGAGCTTAGGAGTCCCTTCTAGGGAGATCCTTCAGCATCCAGAGTCACTGTGAAGAGTGCGTATATCCTTACCGCCACAACTGCATTGCCATTTAAAGGGGCCCTCTACTGCATGACAACCTAATTTCTTCCCGAACTGCTGCACAAGAACTGGGCGAGAGGCCTACTTCCTGACACTGTTTTTGATCAGAGCTAAATGCATTGCTGCCATCTGTTGCTGTAAGCTGCTGCTCTTTTCCACTAAAGCTGCCATTGAACCCAGACTGCTGAACTGGATTACACTTCTCTCCCTGCTTAACCGACCTCTTGCTTCAAATGCATTTACCTTTGCTTAGTCAACTTATTGGGGCACTCCTACTAAGTGCAATCATTCTTTGTAGAACTTAACCATTAACTCCACATCTTAAAGTGAACTTTCCCATTGACTCCATACATTAAAGCAACAGCAACCTGTTTTGCGCACCAAACTAAAAAGCCCCAACCAAGTGGGCAGAAGCTATGTCCAAAAATTATTCAAACCCAAGAGTCTGTCTGATAGTAATACTGGTGTGTAGAATATTTGATACAATTTTAGGCCTATGCCTAGACTCTCTCAACTGAGTGCTCCTAAGTGAACTAACCTGTCTCTTATTGGTAGCTATTTGAAGTCACTTGGAGTGTGATCTCCCAGTCAGAGAGCTATTGTTTATGCTCTTGGTACCACAGTACATATTTAGCCTCACTTTAAATTTACTGATGTTAACTGCATTGTATTGCTATTGCCTTGTCTCCTTGTATGTTAACTTTGAATTTTTGAACTGTTGAGGTTAGGTTCAGCCTAGGACCAAGCGAAAGAGCAGAGGTCCCAATACTTCCAGCAGCTCCTGCGGGGGTAGCGCTACATATTTACAGCCTTTTCTATATCTGATTGTCCTGAAGAAGTTGGAATCTTTGAACATCTGAAAAGTGTGGGCTACATTATGTTTCCTTTTGTTAAAAGATTTTGGATTCCTAGACCTTTGGTTTGACACTCTCAGTAGATCTTGCATAGAGTCTTTTTTGCTGTCTGAGTTCCATTGATGAGATTCAACCTTCATAGTCAAACTTTTGTCACAGGACTGAAAATGAGGGACAATTTAAAATTTTAGGTTGTCACCAGAACAAGAATAGATGGAAAGTCTTCCAATGGAGACACTTGTTTTGATGAGCAACATGAAAATGTCCCTTTTTTTGTAGATCTTTTCTCTCACTCCCTGTTATGTTTACAACACATGGAAAAGAGAGAATCTACTTTAAAAGAAAACAGGCTGAAGAAAATTGACAGGGGTTCAATCCTTCCCAACTCTAGCCAAAATAAAAAAATATATAGCTTTAGATATATTTTAAATCACTCCAGATGTGTATTTTTTTCAGATAAGAATAGAAATACAACTGATTATTATGGTCCATCAAAACAATTGTTCTTTTAAGTCTCTGGTAATTGTAAACGGCAGATGTAAACAACAGCTATCATCTGAATTTCAGCCACAATCTGTTATGGATGCAAACATCTTTAATTTAGGATATTGTTCTGAAATGGGATATAATTAAAGTGGACCATTAATTACTTAAAATAGAGCATATAAACCCGCTTCTCTTATATCCAAAGTAAGAGGGAAACAATGCACTTTCTATATAGTCTGCTGTATCCATCAAGGAATCCCTTGGTGTTCTATTAAAAGGTATAACCTGCAATAATTCTACATTTCTAAATCAATACAAGCACTTGAACTTTGCCCTGCAACGTTCATAAATCAGGCATTTAGTCATAAGTGGCCTGTATTAATGGAGCATCCGCAGAAGACGCTGACCGGCCTCATGATCGGCATTTAAAGGAAGAGACATTGGAAATTAAGCTCTTTCCTCTGCCTATGCACATTGGGATCAATTTGGAATAGTTTGTGTGGAAGAGCTGTGCCTTTCAGGAAGTTAGAGGACAACTCATCTCTTCCTCCTTTAATTACCAGAATTATCTAATAATAATAATAATAATAATAAAAAAAAAAAAAAATATATATATATATATATATATATATATATATATATATATATATATAATATAATATAGGGTCCATGCACAGTAGCATTTTTTAAGCTAAAAAACCACTGGAAATATGCTGGATAAAAAATGCTGGTAATAGCATTTTTTTAGTACCGTTTTAGTAGCATTTGTACAGTACAGTGTTTTAGGGTTTTTTTTGAGCGTTTAGCATTTTTTTTCTGCTGGAAAAATGCTCTAAAAAACTCTACATAAACAATTTTTTTCTACTCCTAGAAGCTGAAACTCAAAAAACACTGATAAAGTAGTGTGCATGGACACATAGGATAACACTATTTGGCTTCTAGGAGCAGAAAGAAGAATGCTAATAACAGCTTCTAGGAGCTAAAAAATGCTAGTGTGTATGGAACCTCCATGTCCATTTTTAACAGTCCTCTCTACTTCTTTCCACAATGTACACCACGGGCCATGTTCCCTCTGACTTTCTAGAAATGTCATTAACAGCTTCCCGTCTGCCCTATAGCAGATATACTGCTACAGGGCGGCACGGGTGCACAAAATTAAGTATATATACACAAGATTTTGCATTTCCAGGTAGGGGACGCACGTGAGCCGTGGATGTGCCCTACCCGAGCTGCCATTCGCGGCCATGGCTGTCAATCACCGGCATCACAGTTCTCCTACCTGTCAGCTTGGGCACAATGCTTTGGATGGCTGTGCACAGCACAGCCATCCAAAGCAGTGTGCTTACAGTGAAGCACACTGACACAGCTCCCAAGTAAAACACTCCTAGCACACAGTTAGCCCTTTGATCACCCCTCATGTTAACCCCTTTCTACCCAGTGCCATTAGTACAGTGTCAGTGCTTTTTTTTTAGCACTGATCACTGTATTGGTGTCACTGGGAATGTCAGTGACACCAAGTCAGTTCTCCCCAGTGTCAGAATGTCCACGCGCAGTCCTGCAGTCCTGCTATAAGTTACTGATCGTCGCCATTACTAGTTAAGAAAAAAAAAATTTCAGTATCCATACCGCCATTTGTAAACGCTAAAACTTTCACGTAAACCATTTAATTTACACATATTGGAATTTTTTTTAGCAAAGACATGTAGCAGAACACATTTTGGCCTAAATTTATGACGTTTATTTTTTAAAATTTTTTACTGGACATATTTAAAAGCAAAATATTGTTTTTTTCTCAAAATTATCGGTCTTTTTTTTATAGAGCAAAAAATTAAAAACGCAATAAAAAATACCACCAAACGTAAGCTCAGTTTGTGGGAAAAAAGGACGTAAATTACATTTGGGTGCAGCATTGCATGACCGCACAATTGTCAGTTAAAGTACACAGCGCTGTAATGCAAAAAATGGCCTGGTCAGGAAGGGGGGTAAATCCTTAGGAAGGCAAGTGGTTAAAGTGACATTTTCTATTTTATGTGGAACCTAATCTAAAAAAAGATTTGTTTGCAGTGTTTCCTGTTTATATAGCTCTGTTTTTAGATTAGATTATGTAAAGTTCCACAATTAATTGTTTCTTAATTAATTCATTGTAAACAATTATTTCATTAACAGTCATGTGTAAGTCATGTAAGACCAACCATGCACCAACAGAGAAAAGAAAGAAGTGTGATTCACTAAAAAATATGTCAATTGTAGTTATTTTTTTCAGACAGAAGAAGGCAGAGTAAAGAAAATGGTTATAGACGACAAAATATATATTCTAGTTTTTCTTTTATTTATACTTCTTTTTTTTCCCCAAAAAAAGTACTCGGAAAAAAAAAAAAATTTTCCATAATTTACTACACATCACATATTAAAAGAAATTATTTTCTTAATGTTGACGATGGAAATATGCAATGTTGAGTGATTCAAAAACAAATTTTTCTTGGTTATTATTTTTAATACATTTTATGTAGTGCCTGGAGCTCTACTTTAACATATACCACACAGCATATAGAGAGGACTTTTATAGTTGGCTGAGTTAGCAAAGCATTCTTTCATTTTTATTGTCAAAAGGTAGAAAGATGGGGTACCGGCAATCCCCTGTTACTGAATGTCACTCAGCCACAAGAACTGGCAACTCCAAAATGAGCAGTACGTGGATTAAACCTGATCCAGAAGGCGCCAGTGCTACTGTTCTTATGCCACGTAGCTTCAGTAAATTTAAAGGGAAAGACATGGGACGGATTAGAACCTCAAGCCCAAAGGGGTTGTAAAATCTTCCTGCTAGCTTGTACTGTTTTACAGTGTTTTAGATTGCAGATCATTGCTCAGAAGCAGAGGAAGTATCTCCAACGATGCTAATTATTAACTCAAAAATGAGTTATCCTGTATTTTTATTAGGTATGTCTAGAATTGAGTATTCCTGAAAAAGTTACAGCATTTGAAATATTCTGTTTATCTTTTGCTTTAAATATGATCAAGTTAAAACCAACATTTGTTTTCTTAAGATGCTGCCTGTGTCCCTGTTTAGCAGATTCACCCTCTTTGTTTATCCCACAGAAGGCAGAAAGTGCTGTGAAATCCATCATTTTACAGTTGTTACCAAAACAGGGAGTGAAGGGTAGTCTACAAATGGGGTACAGGGGACAACTATTGAACAAAAGAATTCCCCTTAATTTAAAGAGATTTCATCTTACCTCATTTGTGTCTCTTAGAATTTTCCTAAAAGGGAAATAAAAACAACTTTGGATACACTTTGAACTGCATGCATAAAGAAAAGATCTAATTTGTCTAAGGGGCACAACTATTAACAGGTGACAATTTAACAAATTTTAGCCTGAAATTTCTTTTTTGCTTGCTTTGTGCAATTTTTGGAGGAATTTATTAATTTAGTGACTTCAAAATCCCTGATTCACATGCTTTGAATCCAAACATTTCTCACTTCACTGTCTATGTAAAAGGTGGGTGAACAACCACTAAAAACACAAAGCACTTTGCTGAAAAATTTAAGTCAAAATTTTTTAAGTTAACTACACTTTTTTTTCTTTCTTAGCTTTTTTTTTTTTAATTTGAAATTGATTCCCCACTAAATTCAACTTTTAAGGGTGCATACAGTACATCATACTATTTCTGCAAAAGCCAGCCAGCATTTCAAGCATTTATAAGCCTTAGACTTTTAAAATGTGAGTCTCTATATTTTATGTCCATTGTTTGTATTTTGATAATGTAGCTTGGTGGGCCCACCCTACATCACTCCTTGTCAGATTAATTACTAATATGAAATATTTTAACAGCAATATTTACTGCAATGATGTGATGGTGAATACAGGAAGGGGGGGGGGGGGGGGGGGGGGTAGAAACTCTCCCATCAGGCTCCATTCATAAAACATAAGCTTGCCATATTTGTAAAATCATATTAACGTTTTGCTTCATTCAATTTTGAAAAAAAAAATAATTTTTTTGGCTTACATTTCACTGTTTGATCATTCATTTTTAAAACTAATTTGGAGTGCAATTGGGCAAAGTCCAGCACAGTGAATTTGATCATTTATTTATTTATTTTGAACTAACCCAGCATCTAAAAGAAAAACAGCTGATACTGCACTAAAGCACTACAGGTAGTTCTCCTTTCACACACTATGATAAACTGGATCCTTTATTATATCGTGTGTCTCAATCTTGGACTTTCTTGTAGTAGCCATTGTGCTTACTAGAAAATAATATTGCCTTGGTCAAAAAATAATAATAAAAAAAAATATATATAACTGAAGGCATCTTCCACAATACAGAAAATATTAACAACATGGAAAATTCAAATGACAGCAGGAGTAAAATGGAACCTAACTTTATGTAATAAATACTGTTTATGGGATGTATTTACTTACTTTACATTTTTAATTGTATTTTTTTTTATATCTACTGCAGTTTATTACTACTAAATCTTTTGAATATTTATCTACTGATTACTCAATGTTTGATGCTTTGTTTTATACTTTTATCTTGACCCACATACGAAATAATTATTTTAAATTGCACATGTGTTCACTAAAACCATAAAAAACTAAAGATGTAAAGCACAGATAGGTATTTCTAGGCACCTCCCAGACAGATTTTCTTCTAGCAAAGAGAAAATGGAAAAAAAAAAAAAAAACAAGATCTCATTAAAGCTATAACAAATAGGTCACAGGTCATCCTTCGTACATATAGAGCTTTTTTGTACTATTTACAGATAAACAGCGCTAAATCAAGTTTATGGGCAGGGTACATGAATATATCTTTTCTTAGCTATAGAAACATCAAGGAGATGAGCAGTGGAAAAATAATAAGGCATACATAGTGTAAGAATGAAAAATGGGTTGAAAGTATAAAGTACAATCCCCAGACTGTTCTCCCTTTTCTCTTTTACTTTCCTATATTCTTTATCCCTCAAGTTGCTAAAGCACAATGAAGATGTTATATAGGATTTTTCATTGGAGACCTCTTAGAATACAGGTTACAGTTTTGACTTCCATAGCACTAGATTATTATTTTTGTATTGAATATTGATCTTGTGTATGTACTCTCCTTGACTGGAATTGTCTTTTTTTGCCATGAACATTTAAAAAGCCCTGAATAAAAATTTATTGAGACAGAAAGTCTAGGAAACAAATGGGGTAACCTGCTATTAGGTGAGGACTCCTAGTCAGAACTTGTGTAACCGTGACCATGTGTTATACAGGGGGCTCAGGTTGTATTAAGCAAATCCTGACTTCAGGTTCTGAAGATGAGTTCTGGCCTGCCTTTGCCTGTTTCCAATGCCTCACTGGTGGTTCTTAAATTTGATGAGAAACCTTACTGACCAGTAGTGAGGTGTGTTATGGTGAGGGGCAGGCTGAACGTTGCCTTTAGAGCTGAAGATCAGATTTGTATAACGCAACTCCCTTCCAGATCTCACAAGGCGCTCTACAAGGTGTCTGAAAGTTCTATCAGGGCTTAAAGTAGACATAGGTTTTACTTTAAACACTCCACAACACCTCCATTTCACGCATTTGCAGAACTCCATCTATTTTAAGGCAGATTTGTGAATATATTGTATTCTTAACTAATCTTGTTCAATTCTGACATAATGAAACACATAATAAAAACATAATTCATTTTTTATTGCCTTCCTGCTTCAAACATCCAGATTCGCTATTAAAAATTCGTCTTCATTTTTCTGGCACACAGCCCTGTGCTATTTCATATTTAATTTATGGAAGCAGAACGCCAACTGACAAATCGTCTCGTATGTTTCCTACATTATTTATCTGACGCCGATTGATGGCTCCTTATTGATTTTTCAATATACTTAAATGCAGGAGGTGGGGCTGAAAAGCGGCATTATTCATAATCGTCTTTAATTGTTTTAAATCACACATCTTGATTGCAGTCGGAGTTAGTTTTATTGCTCCTAAACTGCCAGTAATGTGGAGTAAAGCTTCTGATGTTAGATTTCAAATACCTTTCTCTTCTATAATGTAAGGCTGTGGGTTGCAAACGTCTGAGGGCCCCTGTAATATTATCAGCTAATATATCTGTGCAAATGTAACCGCTAATGGTAATCGGTTCACATGATAATAAAAGCCTATTTAGAGCGACAAATTTATATACAATGCAAAGAGCACTTAAATATGTGTCAACACAAAAAAAAGGAAAAATGGCACAAGGAGATACACAATTTAAATGGATTAAGCTTACAGACACTAGTTAAATATCCCACTTGTCCTAAAGAGAGCTATGCTCTAAAAATACACGGCCATGATATGAGAACTTCATTTTGACAGGAAACTATGATGGTATGCTAAGCTTGGCTTGCTGAAGAAAAAAATTGGCCTTTTAAATGTGATTTCTTTTTTAATGGTTGGGCTGTATACCTTGCGAGAGCCTGTAGAGTCCTTTAGCTGCAGGCACCTTATTTACACATGTCTCTCAAGCAAGATTACATATGAAGCAATGTCTTGCCGCTCCTCTTTCTCATATTTAGAGCTAGACAGTAAATACAGAC